AGGACAAACGGGAAAAAGTATAGGATCCAAGCTTAGGTTACCTTTCTTTTTTGCAGCCCAAAGCCAAGGAAACAAAGAGAGGAGGCCACAACGCTGGGGTGAGTGCCACTTATCTATTTCAAAGACACAGAGGGGCAACTGAATTGTGCTTTTCAGAACAAAAGAGAATGTCTTGTATGTATTTAAGGCCACACAGCTTCTGGACTGCTGGAGGGGTCCCGTAAATCAGGCATTCACCTGGTTGCCTGTGGCGAGAAAACGCTACCTATGGCGAGTAAAAGTCAACCACAGCAGCAAGGCAAAATCTGCAGCTACAGGACCCTCGCACTGCTTTCCACAGCTGGAGAAAGGAAGTGGCGCAAAATGGCGGCTGTCTCTCTCCCCCTTTTTTTTTTTAAAGGAAAAAGAAAGAGACCACAAAGAGGCGATGTGGTATACATCAAAGGCAGGGCCCCAGCCAGAGTGTGCTGAGGCTGCTGAGTCCTCTCTCTCTCTCTCTCTCAATCCTGGTTTGAAGACTGAGAGGAAGCCATTATGGGGAGCCCACATCCTTCTCGAGGGCAGGGGTTCCTATTGGGGAGACGGCTGTCACATCACCCGGTGGGAAGTGGCGAGATGACAGGCACACATCGTCACTACGGCTCTCACTGACTTTCAGGTGGGCCTAGAGAACAGGACAGTTGGTTTCGCCAGGACAAAGGGGGAGAGGGGACAGTGCCCCACACAGACCGCGCAATGAAGAGATCTGGGAAGGCCTGAGGCCCCCACTGTGCTCAGCTACCAAATCCAAAGCTGCTAAGCTCTCCTCCTTCCAGAGCATCCTGTGACCCAGGCACGGCCTCCAATGCCCCTCCACAAACGTTATTGGTAGGCAAAAAGAGAGAGAGGCCACCAGGAGAGGAGAACTGTGGGCTCATCCATTAAAAACAGGCTATCATCATTTCAGATTCTTACAAAAGTATTGCCGGGTGTCAGATCTCAATGCAATTACTTCTTAAGTCAGGGTCTGGGGTAAAAATTGCTGTAATTTTTCGGGGGAGGGAGGGAGCTCCAGTTTTCTGCAAATACGGGATGCGTGCCGGCTACACATTTAAGTCCTGGCAGTGCACACTGCCACGAGATTTTGGAAGAACACAGATCCAAGCCCAGCGGCTCCCGTGTCTCAAGATCTGGATTGCAGGGCTAGCACTGGGCATACACTGACCACAACCATACTGCAAAGTGCGAGTAGAAGAACCCACCCCAAAGGGGGCACTCTCCACATCTCCCCTAAAGCGCTGAAAGTGCTGAACAGACCGCAACTGTATAAAGTTGCGGTCAGTCGCTCTCCAAGAATCAGTGGATGAGCTCGCTTTCCACATCAGCGATACCGCAAGTGAACGTAGCTTCAGTTCACATTTTCCAAAATGTCTTTTTTAATAAGGCTCAGATCAAGGCCAGCGGGCAATCGATTTCTCGAGCAATCGCACAGGAACTGCGCAAAAAGAAAAAAAAGTTTAACCGTGGGCCG